GTTTACTGCTTCCATAATTTTGGGTTTCTTTACTAAATTTTTATATTGTTAAATTGAAGTTGAAATTTATGTATGTATGTCTTTTAGAAGAATGTATTTATTGGCTTGGTCTTTTCTAGCCGTGGAGAACATATTTATAGTGTCAGGATTTGCCAGCTAGAAGGAGTAGATAGAAATCTAGTGGCATACAAGTATAACAAATAAGAGAAGCCACTCAGAGGTGTTCAAATGGGAAGAACAGAGAAGAGTTCATGAAACACTAAATAGGAAACACTAAACTGTCCTTTAAGGATGAGAGAGATTTCAGCAGGAGATACCATGTATAGAGTCATCGATGTAGAAATGGCAGGCAGGTTTGGGGAATGGCAGGCAAGTTAGACTTCAGGTGATGTCTGACTGAAACACAAATTGACACTAAATCTTAGAGAGCCTTATTATCCACAAATATCTGAGCTTTATTCTGTTGGAATGAAGAACCCCTGAAGGTCTTTGAATAAAGGAATAACAGGTCAATGTTATTTTAGGAAGTTGTATAAAAGGTGATGGGAAAGATGGAGGGAAGAGGAAGGGCTACTGCAATACTCATAGTGGGATAATAAGAGTCTGCATTTCGAGAGTGGCAGAAGGAATGAATATGAGAAACATTATATAATTTGTATAAACTGGCAATTGACTGGACATAGAGAATTAATAAATAGGGAAGGATATGGCTTCAAGCTTGGATGAGAACCAGGAAGATTTTTAGGTTTAAGAAAATTATGAGTTTACTTTTAGACATTAATTATTAGGTACCTTTGGGACAATTCATGAACAGATACTTCCTGAAAATCTATATAATAATGCTTTTTGGCTAAAATGTAGCCAAAGAAATAATTTTTTCACCAAACATAACTTTTTTTCACCAAAATGGTTCAACCTCAAATATATCAAAGCTCCAGTTTTGAATCCATGATCTGAAATATTCATATTTAATAATATGTACATGCCTATACAAATACGTAATTATGGATTTGTTGGTATAGTTTCTAGAAGTTGTGTTTTAAATATAGTGTTAATACTTAAGTAACATGTCTCATGTTTATATTACTGTACACTTGAGCTACATCTTTCACTATTTCTAATTGGAATTCCTAACAAAGAAAGATTTTTTTTTCCCTCTGAGAGATTTCAGTATCATTTTGCCTAATTGCACCTTATGTTAAACTACTATATTATAAGCTTCTTTGCAATAATAAAATAGTAATGCAGTTACTCTCTTAAGGAGCTCTGAGTTGTTATGCCATTACAGTTTGGTGACATTCTGCTGACTATAGATTGGTGAGTGAGAAGGGCTAACATTAAGGTGGTTTCTTTTACACTCCTTCATACAAACATTGCTACTATGTAATTTAGCAAAGTGTTTAGGTTATTAAAAAAATCAAATGTAAGGATTTTAGTGCAATTCTACCTAACATTACAAACAAAGACTTGCCAATAATCAGTCAAGTGCATAAAACAGCAAGTTTGCACGCTATTTATTTGGACTAAATCTCTAACAAGCTTTGTCTGTTAATTGGACTCAACGTTTATGTTGCTAAATGAGAAGCATTTTGGCTGCTATGTAGGGTGGTAAGACCTACCCAGTGGAATAAACAACTAACATCTGTTATCCTGTCCTGCTCCAGCTTGGCTTTTACCAGTTAAGTACTACATCAGCCCTGAAGTCAAGGTTATCAAATTTGTGAATCTCTGGCTCACCCATGTACATGTGAAGGTAAAGAAATAGTGCACCATGAGTAAAGAAAGACCAGCCAACCAAAAGATATTGAGTATAGCTGATCCATTTTGTTTTAATTTTACAAGCCCTACAACCTTAAGCAAAATCTAACAGAGGTTAGAATTTTTGTAAAGCTTTTATAATAGCTATAATTAATTTCAGTTCTTTTCTTTAGCATTT